GATACCAGCTTTGTAATATCCTCCTCGATAGAACATCATAAAGATGTTTTTAATTTCTCAATCTGTGAATTTTTTATATTCTTTAAACCCAATAAGATGGGAATAAGGTTGTTCATGAAGAAGTGTATTTAGCTCACTCATCTTTATTACCATTAAGGTCAACCCCCCTCCCAGCAAATTGTGATTTCCATACAAAGAAATTTAAAATAATTATGCGCTTAATTATTGCTCCATAAATACATTTTCAAAAAGGAGATCAAAGAATATATGAAACAATATTATACTGAAAAGTCTCTGTGTGCCATATTACACTCAGGATGTTATGACTGAAGTTTTTTCCTTTGGTGACACCATTGTTAAAACCACATTCGTGCGAGACAAAGTGCAAACATTTCCTTACATTTCCATTTGATGGAACATTGCAATATTTTCTTGGCTAGCTCTTACCTCTTATGATATCGTTTCCTGGTTTGGGCAAATCAATTTTTGTTTCCTCCCATTGTAAAGGATTGCAGTGCAGGGTAAGAAGCTGATTCATCATATGATGTTGATGAAATGAAAACTGTTTTCCTTGTAGAGGATATGAAATCAATTAAGCAATAAGCATGAAATGTTTTGCCAAATAGCACCTCAGCTGTCTGGATGAACTGTCTGGGTACCGGATGTTTGGATGAAAATAGGAAAAATAGAATGGAGATTCAGTTGTTGAAATTGCACAAGAATCATGTTTCCATAGATACTCTTATGGAATTTCAATTTACTGATTGATTTATATATTTGAAAAAGTCTAGATATGAAATCAGATAATTTTGATATTTGATGTGAACATAAAGCATATAACTTTCTAGAGGATACATTGTCTGTACAGAGCCAGAAGGGCATTGACTATGAATAAATGTTTGCCCTATCGGCTCCTAACAATGATAAAGTATAGTACATGCTAATGATAAAGTAAAGTATGAAATCATGCACTCACCGTACTCAATAGATGATAATAGTAATTATGCAATCATTTTCTATATCTGGACATACTATAATCATTCTAATATGTAGAAGCCCAGTCAAGTTTTATGGGGTAGTAGCCACTCTGACCACCGTACGCTCTGTAAGCATAAGAGGCGAGAGCTGTTCTCTGTGTTTTCAAGCCGAGATTTTAATAACCACCACCTCCTGAAGTTCACCTCATCGTTCGTTCGTACCTGTGGTAAAGCAATCATTATTTCCTGACACCACACCATTATTAATTTCCTGATTCACGCCCTTCATTATTTATGATGATGGTGTCTGTCTCCCCATCACCTAGCTTCGGTGGGTGGACAGGAAAAAATAGCCAGGGTGTTTGCACTTTAAACCAAATCAGTTGACAGTAATAAAGCTAACTTTTCTTAATATTAAAGGCTTGTGTACAAATAAGTTATTTGGCAAAAATAGTCACCATCAATCTTCTTTTAGCAAGAACACTCAATTTCAAGATCCAATATATCCATGAATGTGATAAGTTTATGACTCTCCACTTTTAATCATTTGCTTTTGCAAGGCTAAAGTCAGGGTTATGCTTGTGTTTTTTAAATGATTGCTGCAATATTCTTAGCATTTGCAACAACACAGCTAGAACTGGAAATATCCTGTTAACCCATTGTGTATGGGAACCAGGAGGCCTTGTTTTAATACCAGTAGGAATGAGAGAATTCAGGAGTCAAAGGGTTGGAAATATATTAAATTAAACAAATAACTCATGTTATGGAGAATAGCATATTTTCCTCGACACTGCATTGTTAAGAGTGAACATGACCGGTGGTTGAATCCTGAAGAAATCTCCAAGAAATGTATTTTGGAGAAGTAAAACGTTCTCCAAGACTCAAACAAATCTGAATGTGTGAACATGTCCAGTGGTTGAATCCTGAAGAAATCTTCAGGAAATGTCATGGAGAATAAAACGTTCTGAAAGTGTGAACATGTCTAGTTGTTGAATCTTGTAGGAATCTTGTGAGATTGATTGATGATTGGTGAATCTGATATGGGGTTTGTAGCTCAGCTGTCTTGGAGCAGCTGTACCCTTGTCATTTTCCCATGCATGTCTATCACTACCCAGCTTATGAACTTGTTTTGGTGTTGTCCCTAAACTTGTTTAAGATCCCATATATTTTGGTCACTGACCAGGGTGTGATGAAAAGGCAAGGTCCAGGGAGTGGGGGATAAGGGTCCCACAGTTACAGAATAAGTAAGAAAAAGTTTGTTGTTGGTACCATCTACGAGAGTCTGTCAGTGAGACAGAGACCAGAAATAGTGCTTACATTCAATGTCACTTTAATACGTTATAGAGTACCGAAGCTGTGACGTCATAAAAATCTATTTTTAGAATTTCTCAATTTTTTCTTCATTTTCCGAAAGAACATCAAAAACAATGCCCAAATGTCGAAAACCAATTGAATATGTTAAATATTGGCTGAGATATGACCATCTGAATAAAGATACTCCCCATAGGAACTCAGTGTTATATGCTCTGGCTCCTAATGGTTAGGAGCCAGAGCATATAACACTGAGTTCCCATAGGACATATATTCATTCGGATGGTCATAACTCAGCCAATATTTAACATATTCAATTGGTTTTCTACATTTGGACATTATTTTTGGTGTTCTTTCGGAATATGAAGAAAAAATTGAGAAATTCTAAAAATAGATTTTTGATGACGTCACACTTCACCACTCTATTTCATCTTGATATTATTAGTTTTTAATCATTGGATTTTGTTCTAGTGAGCGGGTAGATCTAGAATTTACATTTCATAGTTTTCTGTAGTCTGGTTGTATCAATTAAATGAACATTTCTTTTGTATATTGCCTGAAATTGAAACTGGATTATGATATACACACATTTAAACAAATCAATTGTGGATTTCCCATGTTTTGATAAGCAGATTTAATGAGATCTTATTCTTTCTTCAATTGTAGTCTCTACAATTTTTGTTTATATCCTAAATAGAATTATTTATTTTTCACTTCTGCCGTCTTAGAATTGTTGGTATCACATCAGTTTGCACATTGTAGTGGTTTGTTTCTGTATGGCTGGAATCACTTTGAAACACGCCCTGTCAAAAGTAATGGATTAAAATAGGGAGTCAACTCTATGGTATCCTACTGTGAGCACGGACCGTGAGGTAAGGAGAGCAAAAAGTCCCCTGCCTCTGACAACCTTTCAAATTCCAACGAAAGTATTCTCTTTCCTGCATTATTCGTGATACAATTATATAACAAGAATAGTCGTGTGACCATGAATTAAACAGAATATGACACTGCATTTGTTTGCACGATTGTGTAGAAACCTCGGCACTTATCTTCAGCCTTTCCAATTTGATTCAAGAGAACACCCCAGGTATGTGCTTACAAATGTGAGGGCTTATAAATCTATCAAAAAGCTACGTCTCTATGCAGTCCTAAGTGGCGATGTGTCCTTGCTGGATGATAGAGAAGGTCTGTCTACTTTCCGACCAAGATGATATTTGCACAATTATTTAGGAATGACATATCATTGCAGAACCGCCTAATTTCTTCAACTCTGCTGCTTGTTTCATTTCCCGAAGCACTATAGTGGAACATTTGTACAACAACCAGAGACTATGGAACATATAAACTGATGAATGAATACTTTTCCTTTACAGTAGATGTTTTTATCCTGGGCACAGTTCTAAGGGAGATTATAAAATTCAAAGGCTTCTCACAGAAAATCTTTAGTTTGAAAGGAATGTTGTGTATATGTTGTATGACAAGTTTGTTAGTTATCGACAGGGATGATATCCCCTCAAGGATGAACTGTGTACTCTGGCGAGAAATCGAACATTGAATATCTGTCAGTAGCATGACAGATATCCAGACTAGGAATTGTGTTTTAGGGTAATACCTCGGAAAGCTTGGCTTGACATCCCGATTAGGATGCACAATTGTTTCATCTTTCTTAAAGGAAGAGGAAAAGGATGTGAAAGTATTATTAATATCACCAGGAAGTAGAATCTCATTGTTGAAAGATAAGAGCTTTAGTGATGGAATGTGGACAAGTTCTTGCCTGCTTCTCTCACATCTCAAATTTCCTCTTATTTAGTTGTTGGTTGTTCTTGGTGATTTTTTTTCCTTGTGAAAGGTATTAAAGCATTATTTGACACCTGCCCCATGAAAATTGACATCTATATGCCACTAAACAACAAGAGTCTGTGACCAAGTGTTTATCTTTCGACACCTCTCCTCTCCTCTCCCCTCCCCTCCCCTCCCCTCCCCTCCCCTCCCCTCCCCTCCCCTCCCCTCCCCTCCCCTCCCCTCCCCTCCCCTCCCCTCCCCTCCCCTCCCCTCCCCTCCCCTCCCCTCCAAAAAAGACCTTGACTTGAACACATCATTTAAATAAACAATCAAGTTATTAAAAATATCCAGAAAAAATGACCAGTTGGTATACTGTACATGGCATGTTCCAACAACTCCCCAAAGAAACGTCAACCTTTCAAGATGTATGCTTGATTGATTTGATTGTGAAAGAGCTGTCGAGGGGTTTCCTTTCGAATAGCAATCACATCCACCGGGAAATATCTAGCAAGAAACCTTATTCCTAAGATCAACCAATGATACCTTACTTAGCTCAACACATCCATCCACAACCGTTAAGTCAACCATCATTTATGTGAAAAAAACAAGATTGATTTTTTCCTCTTTATTTCAGCAAGAGTAGATCGCAATCTGGTTAAAGTCTGCCGAATACATTTTTTTCCATCTTTCCGATTCACAGCATCTTAATTCTCATCTCCCCCATCACTTCCCTAGACACCCCCAAACACGTTAACACCAAGAACCTAAATCTTAATTGGCATCTTAGGCCGCACTAAACGGAGCACATTACTCCCAAATGAAGTGTCCAATGTCTCCTTAGAATGTCTCAATTTTCTCACTACACACATGAAAGACATTCTCTTCTCATTTTTCATGTCATGTTTTGTTTTGTTTCTTTTTCGGGTGCAGGTTACCAAGGTCCCGGTGGAGGAGTGTGAATTGTACACCACTTTCTCAGAGTGCGTAGGAGGAGCAGGAGGGCAGGATGACGTCGCCGCCGTCGGAGATCCCTACTGTGGATGGTGCTCTCTCTATCAAAGGTAAGGCCATGGGGTTGGATCGAGGAGGGCAGAAAATGTAACATGAACCATATTTGCGTTACGCATTCTATATCTCCTTGAATTCAGTGTTCTGAGACTCGGAAAACAGACCAGATATAAAACCCTGCTGGTGCCTTTTTAAAACTGGGGGAAATTCAGAGCAGTGGCATAGTCCCTTAGTAAACGCAGCTATGGATAACTAGGGATTAAAAGCTTATGTCCGATTCTAATCTCACCGTGCATGCTAATCTTGTATGAGGGATTGCTGGGATATATTTTTCTTGAATGAGAATCTCTGATAATTGATTAATTCTGGAATAAAATGTAATGTGAACCCTCCTCATGAATTGCACTGAATAACTTTCACTTCCTTCCAGGTTAATGACCTCACAATGCTGAGCTTGGCACGGGATTGGATTTCATAGCAATTATTTCAAGTTTTAAAAAGGGGAATTTCATTGGACTCCCATTATCATGAGGTGTTTGTTATTATAAAGCTCTGTCTCATTGGGTGTTTAAATTGCCTGTTTTCCAAAGGAATCGTGCTTGTCTTTCCATTGGGATCACAATATAATAAATCAACATTTCACAGAAAAGCATGAAATAAATCATTTTATTTGTGCTAGTTAGTGTGTATAGGGGGTTGAATTCATCTCATTGTGGCCATAGTCTTTTTACTTTGAATGGTGCTATTAAACCCAGACTACTAGGCATGAAGTTCACTTATCACTGATATCACTGATTCGAACAAATCATGCTTGAATTTCCATTCTGATTCTGATCACAATATAATAAACCAACACCTCACAGAATATCATGAAATAAATCATTCGCGTTATATTTTGTTCACGCTTGCTAGAATTTAGGGGGTTGAATTCATCTCATTGTGGTCATGGTCTTTTTATTTTGAATGGTGCAATTACACCCAGACTACCAGGCATGAAGTTCACTTATCACTGAACCATAAAATGATAAATCGATGTCTCTCGTCAAACAGTGGATCTTTTGGAGGTGCATGAATCCATTGTCATTCATCAAATATTGATTTACTTGCCACTGAAAGAAAATCTCATTTGTTAGCCTTGAAGAAAATGGGACAAATCTGCAATAAACTTGATGTAAATTGGCAATGTAAGTTGATAAACAGATAGATAAGCTGTTGAAAGAGTTTTATGATAGATGATAACTTTAATTTTTTTTGTAACAATCAGGAGGATTAATGTCTCCAGAAAGTGGTATAGTTCTAAAAATATTGGTTTAAAGAAATTCTAAAAGAATTGATACAATAGATAAATCCTTTTTGGTAAAAATACTTTTGTGTATTAATATTTACATGATGTGTATCAACAAGGAGTATTTTTCCTGTTTTTTTACAAAGATATCAAACTTTGACTTTAATGTGCTTCAAATATATCCCCAAAAAGAGTTCAGCCTTCAGGGGATAAAAATTGGGGAAGAGAAGTGTAAAATCTATGCTTTAAAAGGGTATAAAGTGAATAAAGAAAAGAGGGAAATAAAATAAAAATAAAGGAGAAATGGATGTTTGCTCAGCTTGTACTTGGTGCAAGTGGATTTAGAAGTGCAGTCCATATTTATCATTAGAATCAGGATATCCTAATGTATGTAATGTGGTGTTGGTTTCGTTAAACCCCCACAGGGCACTGCGCAAGTTGATTCAATTTAGCCGCTGGTGTGGAAAGCACTCGCGTTAAAGGCACTGACTGTTCAGTGCCACGTTGTATTTTTTAAATAAAAATTATGAATTTTCGTATTTCATAATGATAAGTATCGAAGCAGGTCGTCTAATAACAAAACCTAAAAATGTATACTATTTTGATAAGTCATTGAAGATTTGAAAATATTAATATTTATGGAAGGTTATTTGTCTGCTTTAATGCTAGTGGGAGGAATGGGTATGAACTTTTACACTGAGCGCCGGGTGATTGAATTTGCGTGGCGATCATTTGATAAAGCTTGCCAAGCTTGCGTGTCTTTATGATCACGATGAAATAAAGAGGTATGTAGGACGAGACCTGATACATCCTGAAAGTAAACATGATGTATAGAGAGAATAAGAAAGGGTAATGGAGATAATGGAGGGAGGGAGAGAGGGAGAGCAGGAGAGAGAGAGGGAGAGCAGGAGAGAGAGAAGGAGAGAGAGAAAGAGAGAGTGAGAGAGAGGGAGATTGTGAGGGAAGGAGAGAAAGAGGGAGGGAGAGACAGACAGAGACAGAAACTTGAGAGAGAGAGAGAAGAAAGGGAAGATAGAGAGCGAGGGAGAGAAGGGGAGGGAGAGAGAGAGAAGGAGCGGGAGAGATAGATAGATAGAGCGAGCGAGAGAGGAGGTACATTGAATTCAGAGTGGTTGGAGCAAAAGTGAGAAAGATAGAGAGATAGAGAAAGAAAATGTGAAAATGAAAGAAAGAGAGAGAGAGAGAGATAGGAAGAAAGCAAAACGGGGGGGGGGGGGGGGGTTGAGAAGTATGCAAGGTAGAAGAGCACACAGTAATGTATGCGAAGTACGATAGTCAAGAAGTAAAGGGGTTGACACGAGCATGTCCAAGTTTAGGGAATGTTATGTCTGAAATGTGATAGAGAAGTGGAGGGTGTTTAGATAGCTACAGGTGTTGTTATGACTAGAAAACCAAGGACAGTGACTGACTCAAAGCGGTGCAGTTTGACATAAATGTATGTAAGCTTTGCTTCTGAGTTGGAAACATAATATGCATGTAATGGATACTTCATGAGCATGAGGGATAATATGAAGTGAAGTTAGTTCCCAGTTGTGTATACTTCACACCGTCTTGTCTTTTGCTTTTTTTTTTATTCAGTTAAAGTGCATTTAATATTGATGTATGATCTACGTATACAATGGCTCCTAAAATACAATAAGATTTAGGATTGTGTGTGCAACCATATATGCAGTTTTCCAACTCCTTTCTTGGAGTGTTTCGATTCCAAAATGTTATTTATTGATTCATTAACCACTCATTTTCTAGTCACTTCATCATGTCCAAGATCTTGATTTCATTTGTAGAAAGAAGCAATTTTATTCGATATTATCAAAAACTTTTGATCTTTTGATCTGAGTGTTTTTTCAAAATAATATACATTTACTCAAGGAACATGATTATATAATTATATCAATCTGGAATAATCCCTTTGCTTTACAGGTGCACAAGAGGGGTTGAGTTTGAATGCCCGGGTGTGGAGAACCCTAACCTACCTCATCGTTGGTTGACCAGGGATGATGAAAATACAAGAATCGAGAAGATAACTCCTCCAAACACCGACAGCGGAACAACCATTATGGTAAGTGGTCCTTCAAATCTTCTCTCAAGTGGTACTAGTGTTAATTCGTTTTATTAAAGGGATCGTTTAACAATGTTAAATCTGCGATACACGGCCCTACGTGTTATCAGTGTCTGTGATATGGTGTTAAATTGAAGCCCTAAAAAAATTGCACTTCAAAATGATCAAGAAGTGCCTCAAAAAAGTAAAAATCTTTGAGTTACCGGTTTTAACATATTCTTTTCACCCAATAGACTGTAGTGTTATGAAAAATGTTTGGCAAACGGTTTTCAAAATTTGTAATTCCAATCATAAATATCTTGATAATCAGACAGGCGATCGGCTTGTAAAAGTCATGGGGTTCCTGACTGCCCTAAAGGTCTATAATTATCATTGCAACATGAGCTAAATCCAGAATTTTGTTTCAGAATCTGAGACAAAGTTACCGAATCCCTTTAATAGCAAGAATGTCTTTTACTAATTAATTGCTGTACTTCCTTTCATATGCTTCTTTTGGTGATTAAGTACTATTGATTTCCATAAACCACTCTTTTCCTCCTACAAGTACTATGCTAAAACAATATTTTTCTGTCTTTGAATATTTATTTTTTGTTTCGTTTCTGGTCATATTTTATTTGTATAGATAGTACTCTGAACTTTACAGATCTCTAGATAAGGGTAAAGTAAATGGAGGTGTGGAATTTGGTGATTCTTTTCTCGTCTTGTATTGTCTGCTGAAAGCTAGAAGAGTGTTGACTGATTCTTGTCATTTAAAGGGATCGTTTAACAATGTTAAATATGAGATACACGGCCCTACGTGTTATCAGTGTCTGTGATATGGTGTAATATTGAAGCCCTAAAAAATTTGCACTTCAAAATGATCAAGAAGTGCCTCAAAAAAGTAAAAATCTTTGAGTGACCGGTTTTACCATACTCGTTTTCCCCAATAGACTGTAGTGTTATGAAAACCGTCAGGCGAACGGTTTTCAAAATTTGTAATTCCAATCATAAATATCTTAATAATCAGACAGGCGATCGGCTTGTAAAAGTCATGGGGTTCCTGACTGACCTAAAGGTTTATAATTATCATTGCATCATGAGCTAAATCCAGAATTTTATTTCAGAATCTGAGACAAAGTTACTGGATCCCTTTAACACACAGTTAACACCCCTTTCAGGGGACAATATCACTTGTTTGAATTAAGAAAGTTATTAACTCATATGAATTAATGCCCTTCTGGCTCGAGGCAGATGTTATGATCAGATGATGCATAATAAATGTGTCTCAGATGTTTTTAAATTATTTTTTTTTCTATTCTCATACGGTCGTGAATCTAAACACAAGGTATATTAAGCTTCATATGTTCCTTGTGTTCTCACAGCTTCACATCACAGTACTGAATCTGCCTGCTCTGGATGTCTCGGAGGCATACCAATGTATCTTTGGCGACCTAGGAGACAAACCTGCAGCAGTCAACACCACAATCCCCAGTCGCACGGTGGTCACATGTTACACCCCTCCTGACATTCTCGAACCGGTTGATGGTGAGTCAAAATGGGATGTTTAATACAGGAATTAGATTTAATCTGGATTAAAATTTGAAGAATTAAGCGTTGGAATCTTTCAGTCCTTTAGTGCCACTTTAATACCGCTTAAACGTTTTACAATTCGGTTTCTTTGAAATTATGCCCTTCACATATTTCTTTCAGAATGAAATTGTCCTCTATAGAAGATAAAAACTTATTTTATTTTACAAAGTGGGACTCCCGTCACTTCTTCAGACAGAAGTGTTTAGAAGACAAAATTATCAATAGATAACATCAACATCCAGTAGATTTCTCCTCACCGTAACAAGTTTATATCATTGTCTTCTTTTTAGGGCCAAAAGGGCAATAGCCCTGCATTGAATGATGTGATTAAACACCATCCTGGCTCTCATCTTGGCTCTCAGCACACGATATGTCCATTTGATATTGATAGAAATAAACAGTTTCATTTTCTTGAGCTGAGATCGTGCTTTGATCCAAGCAGTCGCTTATTCTTGTCTATGACACCAATATGCCACTTGGAAGTATCCCCCATCCATTAGCTTAGTCCTGCTGAAGATGAAATTAGCATGAATGCTAGACCAGCGGATCTCCATCTCCGTGGGGATAGTCAATGCAGTAATCCATTTAACACCACTCTGTATTAACTCAGCCACTTTGACGTTGAGCTGTAGATTCAGGGTATTAATACAGGGAGAATTCAGTGAACAATAACAAACCTTGTTTTGAGAGACACTGTCGATTTTCGCATGGTTATTTAATAAAGAAATAGATTAAGAAAGATTAAATTTTTAAATGCTGTATAATACCTTGATTATATACCATTCGAAAACAAGCTCCCATTACACTTCTTAAAAGTAACTTGAGAAGAAACTCAAGTGTCTATGGAATCTCATTTAGAAATTTTGATTGTTTGTGTATGGTATCAAATAACAAAACAGTTTCTTATGACAGAATTTGTTCAAATGCTCACGAGACTTTTTAAAGAGGTACCCAGAAATACAATAATCCATTTACCACTCTAATACATGCTCAATTTCAAATAATCCACGTTCATTCTCCTAACAGGTTTTACGCAAGTGGAGCTCACCTTGAGGCACACCAAGACAAATGTCGATGTCGTTTCCACAGACTTCTATTTCTACCAGTGCAGTACTTTCTCCACCTGTTCTGAGTGTGTTGCGCAGGCGTTTGGTTGTAACTGGTGTGGCTATGAGACCATGTGCACAGTCAATCTAGGCCAGTGTCAACCTGAGGGAATCATTTTGGGTGTAGGGGTAAGTCATTCCTGCTCGATAAAAACATTTTTTTTTATTAGGAGTGCCTTTCTAATGCAATACATGTGCACTGAAAATGTGCGTCTTAAACTCTCGTAGCTTCTCTGGACTTTTAAATGTCCTTTATATGATGAAAATTAAGTACTACCAATGCAAAATTGTATAGATGAGCGGATCAATGAATTACTTCTTTAAAGCAGTTCAATATTGAAAGTTTGTATGATTGATAAGTATTAATGAAACAGAAAATGAATCACGTTCATAGTGCATGATTATCATGATTGAAAATGTTTATTTCATTGAAAATATTTTCTGTTTTCAGACGGCCACTCCATCGGCCACTGACTTGGTTGGTCAAGAATACTGCCCTCGTGTGGGCCTCGGTGATGATACAGAGATCTTGATACCGGCTGGAATTCAGAAGAACGTCCAGCTCAATGTTGCCAATTTGTTGGCTCCCCTGGTGAGAATCTGTAGGGCTCACAGCACTCTTTGCTCTAAACTGAATTATACAGATATCAAAAATATTAATCTCTTCCCTGCTGTTAAAAGTACATTTGGTCACATGTGAATATTTTGTTGACAAAAACCCTCACCTGGTTACAATTCATGTTATGTTGAGAAGCATTCACTCTTTCTTTGCATCTAATGATGAATTGATCTGTTTTAACAGAATCAGTGAGGTTGAAAATGAGAGATATATCTTCAAGATTGGATTCATGGATCATTTAGAATGAGGAATTCGAAGGGGGATATTAGAGTTATGACAACCCATCATAATTTGAAATATGTGCAATTTGCACAGATTATTCATCGACAGATCAAATTTCATCGGTCTGCTCAAAGCAAGTGTACTTCAAGCAATGGATAAACGTGGGCTTTATACCATATTAAGGAGGATAATCTTAGCCATTTATTAAAAAATATTTGACACGGTCATTAATGTCATCTAACTCATCCGTCATGTGAAATTGCTTTTTGTAAAGCTCTATCCTGTAGCTCATATATATTCACGGTGACTTTGCCATTTTTCATATGACTCTCATGAAAATTTACTCAACCGCATGTGTACCCTATGTTTAGGCTATATTCTTAGTACATTTTAATTGGAATATTTATTTAGTGTATTTATTTAGCCATATTTGACCTCCATATTTCTTTGATGATCATTTGTAGAAATAGTTCCTGATAGTTGAGACATTTTTAAGGAGTCGTCTCATAAGTAATAAATCATATTAATGACAAGTTGATTATTATTTATTTTCTTACTGTTTCTTTGATATAAGTCACATTTCCTTGTTCATTACCTTCAACTACTTGACCTTGTCTACTCTATTCTCACCATTATACTTTCATACTTTGTTGTGAAAGACCAAAGTTAATCTGTATGAATGAAGACTCAAAAGTAATACAAAGTTTTTGGTATGGGATCGTGAATTTGGTTCAAATGAACATATTGGAAGCAATATTTTACAATATTCAATGATCGTTGTCGCTGTTGAAATCAAGTCTAAAGTAATGAAATGGTACATAATAAACAATTTCTCGAAAGCAGAAGTGTTTTAGGAGTTCAATTTTCTAGTGCTCATAATAATTACACAGGGGCTTCCAAATTTATTTAAAATTTTAAAGAATTACTATCCATCAAATTTTTTTAATTTCTCAAAACTTTGTATTACCTTTGAGGAACAAAATATTATAATACATGTAATCTAAATTCATATTCTATTTGTATGTGTGTGGTCTGTCTCTTTAGGGTTCTCAGACTGGTGTCGGTTATACGTGTGTCTTCCAGTATGAGAGCAAGGAGGTATCCGTCCAAGCTAATTTAGATGGAGAAGATCTTCTCGTCTGTGAACAACAAGTGGTAAGTTTGATGACATCATATGTAGCTATTGTAACTCCTATAAGGCTTTTAAGAAAAGATGTTGTATTGCCCTTTGCGACCCAAAATCTTCTAATCTGCGGTCGGCTTTGTATTAAAGTGTTTTTTTTTATACTGTTTTTAGAGAGAAAAATGTTGAATGAATTAAAGAACTTAAAAATATCAGCCCAAAGAGGGGGGGGAAAAAAGAAGAAAAAAAACAACTTTAAAATATCAGCCCAAAGAGGGGGGGAAAAAAAGAAAAGGAAAAATTAAAAAATTGACCGACCGACTGGCCCAGAAGCTGGCATGTAAAGGGCAATACAACATCTTTTTTGTTTAGGCCTGATTGCCGTTATCTTTTCCAGTCACCCTTATACATATACTCTGGTTCTTGTTGTGTTTCTGAACGACAAGAATGTGTCATCTATTGAGAGCATTAAGGGCATTAACTTTTGTTTGAAATGATATTAGAGATAATGCCTTTCTGGCTCCAAACATACAATGATATTATGTCCTGTTTATTTATTTATAAACATGGATAAGAGGATTGTTGTTTAAAAGGATGTACATACTGTTCTCTCGGATATGTTGCATCCTGTTATGATATTTGATAACAGCTGTGTTATGCAACATCCCTGTGTCATGGTTTCAAGGGAAAGGAAGTAGTTAGATTGTCAACAATTTCTCTTGAGTTCATATTAGACTAAAGGGTAGTGTCCATGTCAATTAATCCCTCCCCCCCCCCCCTCTCCCCCTAACTTTTTAGGGAATTCTGCCCTTAAAACTGGACTTATGTGTGAGCATATGCTATTGAACAATGTGGCAGTTCTTGCCTGAACATTCTATGTTTTTTCTTAAAAATAATTGTTTTTATATCTTTTTTTCCTCCAGAACTGAAATAACATCTATTGCCGCATCATTTGCTACACTAAAAGCAATAAAATTTACTTTCTCAATAATGAGATCCTCAATTTCAGTTAAGATCTAAACAGATTATTTTGACACATTACAGATTTACAATGTTTGGTTTTGTTATTGAAATAATCAGAAAAAACTTGGTCTGTAGGAGAAAAAAAATAGGACACTCACATATAATGTACACATTAATTATCTTCCTAAAGTATTTAGCCTTGTATAATGTTATTCCTTCCATTTATATAGATGTCTATTTGGTCTGTAAATAAATTTGACATTATTTTGAAGTGCATTACTTTATTTCCCTTCCTGTTTCCTTCTCCCCTGACCAAAAATCACATTTCACCATCCGATGTACAAAGCAAAAAGGATATCTGTGGGTGTTTTTCATAACATGGTTCCAAAAAAGTAGGAAATGATAACTTCAACAGCGTTTGTGAGCCAGAAAACAATATTATGATGCAGGTCTTCTTCTACCAAATAAATAATATACTTTGGCAATGAATTCTTTATCAAGTTAAAGATATTTGGGAAAGTTCGTTCACCATGTTCCTGACACAGCCAAGTTTAATTGTTATTTTGAGAGAAGACTCTTAAGATTATAAAATGGATAAGTACCAGGTATTTTGTTATTGAACCTAAAAGGATATTCATAGAAGGAGAAGTACTGCATGACTACATCGTCTGTTGAGAAGGAGGAGGGCACTTTGTTATATTATTTTACAAAGATGTAGCCCCTAGACTCTTAGCAGATGGTGAACTTTTGGCCTGGTTGTCTTTTTGAAGTATGCATATAAAAATGTACCATGAAGTATTTTAATGTTAGACCCATACTGAGTTAAATGCATGAAGATGTGTATGAGTTTAGACCATTGGTGGGTGAGGAATGGTGTTATGATTCAATGATATAAATTGATGTATGTTTTTGTTCAAATTTGCAGTTTGAATATGAGGCAGAGGCCAACAGTGTTACAGGATCTATGATCGTTACGTGGAATGATGTCTTTGTCGTCACAGATAGAGAGATACCAGGTAAAAGAAAAATCTTATCTTATATGAAAATAACCAATCACGAAGGGACTTAGTCACCCCCCCCCCCCCCCCCCGATCCCACGTGTCGTCAATAAAATTACCTTCAGAGAAAGAAAATCACTAAAATACTTCAAGAAAAGGAACAAATACCCTGGATGTGTATCTCTGACCCCGCCCACAATCCATTCCATTCATCATACAGATACATCAGACCATTCAACAAATCAAACACTACAGAAGTTCCAGCTAGTGTTTCCTGACCCATTCCAAAAACCCCGAACAACAGATTTGTTTAAATAAACCTATTGTTCAGTCTATTGCTCTGGATTCCTGAGTGCCATAGTGAGTCAAAGAACGCCAGCCGGCACTGTACATTGATAAATCATCTGTGTGTAGCCAGGGTTCTAACTCACATACTTTGACACAGAGTCAATCCTCTTCTTGGTCCAAGCAGACAACATTTTTATACTTAGTCTTCTGAAAGTTTCATCTGTGTTGATATTAATTTGATGGCTATAATTCATTATGATTCATTATATTATGATTCAATATTGTCTTGTGTTTTCTAAGTCTTCGTAGGCAAAATTTGAAACATTTATATTTTTATTTTTTTCTGGGGATCCACAACCTACAAGCATTGCTTTTTAGTGGATCCCCCTCATTTCCTCAGAAATTAAGAAATTCTTGTAATAATTTTATTATGTGCAAAGTTTATTTGTATAGTTTCTTGAAAAAATAAATTATGTATGAAATAAAATGTAATAACTTTGTTTACCTTTCTGTTGGAAATGAAATAAATATGAATATGGATATGAATATTATCAGCAAAAACAAAATGAAATACTGTGGTATTCATCTCTGCTTAAAGAGAGAGGGAAAAATGTGAAAGATTAATTATGATGCCACTATTTTATGTAACCACAGTTACATGTACTTCAGCAAAGGGACTCCAGGCAGGCTCTCGATAATGAAGATACAATTTTGATTTATTCATCTAATACAAGCATATTTATATATATCTTTTCCATTTATCTTTCTTTCAGTTATCTTGTACAAGTGTACCATTGACCGATCAAACTGTGGACTCTGCTTGAGTGCGGATCCTAAGTTCCAGTGCGGCTGGTGCAGTAGTCAGTTTGAATGCGGGATTGCATCTCAGTGCCTGGATAATGATTGGTTGATCGGAGAGGATACGGTCTGCCCTGACCCAACAATCAGAGAGGTATTTAATCCCCTTCATTCATAAGAAAAAACTTTTTTTTTCTACGATTCTAAACAACCACAAAGGTATTAACTCCTTTTGAAGGAGATTACTTTGGGTGATGGTGATGGTGATGATGATGATAAATGATGGTTGTTATAATTTTGACATTTTATAATGATGGTGAAAGTAATGATAATGGAGATGGTGATGAAAATTTTAACATTTATAATGATGGTGATAGTAATGATTATGGAGATGGTGATGATGATTTTGACAAAGAATGTGATGACAGCGGCAGTGGTGATGATGAGGGGGAGGATGTGGACTGCAACAGTGATGATGATGATGCAGTGATGATGATGATGCAACAGCTGGTTATTTCAATATCCATCATGTCTTATCTGTCATCCAGATCTCACCAATATCTGGTTACTTCACTGGTGGGACCAATCTAACCATCAAAGGGTACAATCTTGGCTTGACTGCTGCAGACATCATCAGCATTAGAGTTGCTGGTATAGAATGTATCAAGGATGAGGACACGTACATCACTGCTCTCCAGTGAGTATTTACCATACCTTTCCTCTTTAGTTAATGAAATTGTCTCCTCGGAGCCAGGAGGGCATTATTATAGAGATATCAACTGCTTTGAGAGCCGGACCTCGAATATTAAAGCAGTCAATATGTCTTTTATATGCCAAATTCAAACAAAAATCTACCAAGAATTCTTACCTTATTCTTTTATTGAGTGAAGTGGTTAAAACATCACAGAAAATCTGAGAAACTGTCTGTTTATCTTTGCCGGAAAAATGACTGAAATTTTTCGATCAGTTGGGAATCACAGACAAAAAGCACTGTATGGTGTCCGCGCCCCCTCAATGAACATTTTAACACGTAAACCGATGGGTATCGCAGCGAAATTTTATTATTTTCCCGGTAACCCAAATTTTGAGGGATTTTACTCTTGGACTATTAAACAGTTTTGGCATGTTTTTGTTTCTTTACGGGAATGGCTAAAACCGCGAATCCAATTTCGACCATTCAGATGGCTGCATTTCTTAAGTGAGGTATATAATGCATATCATTTGCTATACGGCTTATGCCCTTCTGGCCTTCAAGGCATGATACATTCACTATTCAATGCATCTGGTATATTAGTCAATAGGGATTTTTGTTGATTTTCTAGAACATGACATCAGGTTTCAATGTTTTTGTTCAAAGTAAAAATACAAAATCCTTCCATAAATCCCTGAAAATGATTAATGGAAAATAATTAATGATACAATCTGACTTAAATTGTATAATTATATTCACATTCGTCATGTTTTCAAATTGTGTCATTTTCCCCTTTCCTGCACAGAATAAGCTGTACCACAACCTCCTCTCTAAAACCAGACTCTGGTAATGTAGAGGTGACCATTGGTAACAATGGAGGACAGATGTACTTGGCTACCTCCGAAAATGTGTTCAGCTATGTGGTAAGTTACTATTAGTATTTCCAATTGTAATGGTACGCTCATTTGGGCATCTCATTTGACCCAAAGGGGGCGCTAGAGTCATAGAAGAGCCGGGCTGGGTTGATTAATTTTATTCACCTAAAAGTTAAATAGCATTAAAGGAAACCAAGCCCCAAGTAATAACCTTACTTATTCTGAGAGATTTATTATATTATTGCCTATAAATCTACAAGATTCCCCACCAAAGTGTACGAGAGAAGTATAAAGCAAAAATAAAAGTACAGTTTCTCAACACGACATGGGCATCGCCATTTTCTTGATAATGGGACATACCATGCGAAGTCGTTTATCAAGTAAATGTATTCAAATTTATGGATGCTTCTTTCCCAGACGTGTGTGGTGATGAAGCATTTTATTCACCTGCTATTATCCTTTGTACTATAATTGCCAGAACGCGAATTGCATAAATAAGTTAGTGCTCTTCTGGGGTGAAGGTTTCTCATTAATGAAATAGATTTGTCAACTGCTATAGTGTAGTATTTATAAATGAATTTTGTTACAATTGTGCCCCTGTTATTTATTTTTCACCTAATGTTATTTCTATCATCTCAGTTATTATTTTTTTTCATTGAAAAGTAAAGGTTTCGTTATTGATTTAAAAATTCTTTCCAACTAAAGCTTGTTGCATGATACATGTACAACTTCAACAGGCACGTCACATTTTCAAGAAAATGGCTGCGCCCATGTCATGCTAAAAGGCATCACATCATGCCAGGAACATCTTCATTTATATATCTCTTGTACATTTTTCGTAAGGAATATTGTACATCAAAGGGTAGGAATACATCTCATTTTCAGAATACCTACACTTATTCTTTGGGTTTAGGTTTCCTTTAATTATGTTTACAATAGTATGCCGGGAACGGGTAAACAACCCCTGGTTTTGAATTCTTGCATTAGATTAAAGTGTTCATTTCGAAAAGCATGTTGAAATGAATTCCTGCATCAAGATGTGCAGGTGTTCATTTCCAATAACAAGTTAGACAATAGACTGTTTTGCCGGGGACGCGACATTCTCGCGAAGAGATAGACTCCTCCCATATTTGTTGGTGACTAGTTCAGATAACACTCATCTATTATGCTTTGTCATTGGTTATAATTAATTAAAGGTATAACTCCTCTCTTAATTGGTCGGATGACCTAAGGGTAATTTGATATATCCCGTCTTGCAATTGGTTGGCTTCGTTAGAGTCCTTCTGGTTGGCTGGCAATATCATGTAATATCTAAGCCTCATTGGGTGCCGCGGTATTTAAATGCCAGGTGCGGGATTTTGAAGTCAGTTTTAGTTGATATTATTTGAGAGTATATTATTTGAGAGTATATTATTTGAAAGTTTATTTCATTCCGTTATCATGTTTAAGATGTGCTGCTAGTTTACGGTCAATATGGCCGCCCAGCCTCTGAGAGAAGCAGCTTATTTAAAATGTTTATATAATAATTACTCTTCGTTTTTGTAACGATTGGAGCTTCGGCTGACTTATATTATTAATAAAGTGGACTTCAACTGTAATTCCGAGCTTCTTTTGTTTTCATTTATATTTGAACTTGTCGTCTTCAACTCATTAACTGGCCCACCACATTTGGTAGTACGGATGGGGTCAGCTTTCTTTCGTTAACGACCAAGTTTGCCGTTGGCTTGCTAGCGTTTACCGCTGGTTCGTCGTGCCGACCCACCACTCGAACTCGATATCATTTGCTCGGAACACAGAAGTAATTTGAGTTGCTGCGGCTGAACTGTTTCTCACCGGTGGAGTTAGCGATAGAGTATCTTGTGTGTTAGTGAAATTAGTTGTACCCGTTTGCTACTCCACTTTTGGATATTAGTAATGTAAGCATAGGAAAGATTAGTTAAACTTAACTTTAAACTAAATTGGTATATATATATATATATATATATATAAGCACTTAATATTGATCAGTACCATAATTAGTGAAATGGAAAAGTTAGTAACCCAGGCTTTACAGGGTTAGACAGATAGAAAGATATTGGAACAGATATTGTAAGAGTATTTTGGCCCCAGAGAAACTTAAATTTTTGCAACATAGATTTACTTTTTATGATGGAGTGTAATAAGATAATGAATTTTCGGTCGAGATCTCATGAGAACTTATTCAATTATACGATCGTGCAGTTGATAAAGCTTCTAAAACAGAGGCACAAGCTCTCAAGCTTTTGCAAGATAAGTCATTGATAGGGCAATTCGTTGCGGGAACCAAACACCCCAGCCTTCGTTTAGAACTAAAACGAATACAAATGAGTTCGGAAGATCAATCCTTCGAAATATATGAGGGAAGTGGCTTTGGGTTGTTGGGTGAATTCGAGACTCCTAAGGATAGGAGGGGAGTGATCAGAGAACTTCACCTTGGTTCCATTTTATAAGATCAGAGCCAAGCACCACAAGGTGCAAGTGGAGATAACTTGGCCATTAAACTCCTATCAGCAATGGAAAAATTGCAACAAAGTTTAGATCAATTGTTGCGTCAGAATTCCTCCACTTACCGATTTCCACCCAATTACCTTCCAAATAATGCATCTCAGGTGAATGATGGTGCTTGCTGGCATTGTGGGGGTGTTTGGTCATTTTGCTAGAGCCTGTCCAGTAAAAAAAAGAGAGAAAGGTTACCGATGGAAGGGAAAGGGTCCTTCTCCACTACCAGGGGCCAGGTAAAGGAGGAATAATTTGGAAAAAAATGAAGTAGATATTTTAAGTAAATTGATAAAGAAAAGTCCTAAGGTTACTGCTTTGTTAGTCAATACTCTTTGTGAGTGCATTTCGAACTCCTAAGGGTAGGGTGGGAGTTGTTGTTTAGGTCATTGGAGGAAAAGTTTGGTATTTTAATTATCTTTTGCGATTATAAAGGCATTGATAATTCGTTGATAAAGTACAATTGTTTTAAATGTTTGCTAACATTCAAATTCATATAGAGGCTGGGCGTTCCTTCGGATTAGATATATAGTAAAGATGTTTTGTTTATTAATTTGCTAAGTTAGCTGCACCGTTGATTCAGTTCAACTAATTCTCCCTTTAGTAGAAGAAAAAAAAGGGAAACTATTTAAGCTTGAGTGGAATATTCTAATGAATGATTCATTTAATTTGCTCAAAGAAGTGGATTGAGGCACCAGTTAGTTATCCAGGTTTTTCAAAGGGTTTTGTTTTTAGAAGTTGATACAATTCCCTAAAAGGTTTAGGGCCTTGCCTATCACAAGTAGGGGAGGATGGAAGGCGTCATCATTTAGCATATATGCTAATGGACAATTAAACAAATACAGAACAAAAGATAACCAGATTTAGGTTCGTGTTAATGAGAGTTAAATAATTATTAAAATAGACAGTGGATAATTTAGAGACCGTTTATTGGGAGCCCCATTTGTTATATTTACTGATAACAATTTGTTAGCTTATTTACAAAATGCTAAACTAGGAGCTAGGGTGAATTGAGGGTTGAAAGTTTTGGGGAGGGGGTTATCCTTTGATATGATACGATCCCGTCTCATAATGTTGGTATAGTGGGCATGATATCTGGGTATGATATTTTGCTGAATTCTGCATTATTCCAATGTATCGAAATTTATGAATGCAAATATTTTGGTGCTTTAAATTGTTATAGGTTTTTTTACACACATTTTATATTGTAAAGATGGAAGGTGACATCATATGGAGTACGCTGTGGAGGTCTAGGGATATCTAGCTCCATTTGTTGTCCTGTATGATGTTTTTCCTGATATCATTCATATATTTGCGGTGTACAAAATTATTGTTACCAGGTGATTTAATGGTTTTTTTAAAGAAGCCATCCTGTGCCAAGTTGGCACTTAATGTTTGTTTGGTAACTGTATATAAACAAAAAGATAAAATTATAACAGTTGGAGTCTACATTTAGTAGACATTAAATAATACATATGTGACAAAATAGATTTGTCTGAGTTTTATAATGTTAGTTGGAAGTAGATTCAATGAGATAATTATAGACTGCTGGTTGTTGCTGAGACTGGGAATGTTAAGATTATTATGATACATAAATATACAGGTTTATGAGAAAAGGTCTTAATTGTATGTATATAATAAGGCATGTTTAGTCTTGCTTCCAGTGCGATGTTAGGTTCTCATGAAGATGTTGTTGATTGTACAGTTAAACTTTTTCTCATGGGGGGGTTTGAGGAAAGAATGGAATTAAGGAATATATGCATGTAGGTTGTTTGTAATGTGGTTAACAGGTTGTGTTTATTTATTACTACAATTACCAGTTGACTTTGCACGATGTCATTGTGTTGTCATTTTAGTGGTTATACCCTTCCATGTTTGGGAGCAGTTAAAATCGAGGGATGATGTTTATGCCTGGCTTTGATTTGGAGGTCTAGGGTTATCCAGCTCCAAAGTAGAGGAAGGGCATGACGTCATCCTGACATTATATTCTGTTGGCTGGGTTATATTTGCAAGGTGGGCAAGACATTGCAATTGCAGGTCTTCCTGGTTAATTGGTTGTAAAATAAATAAATTTAGATATTGTTGTATGTGATTATGCATGGGTAAGGAGTGTTTGACATTACAAGGAGAATATTAACTGTAATTCTTTTAAAGTACATTCTTAAGTCAAAGTGTTGGTTAATGCAGCCCAAATGTGCTGTGTTGATAGTATATTGACAAAATTATGCTTTAAAGCAACACAGATATGTATTGCTTGATTAAATGATTCCCAGTTGGTAATCTAATATTTTATCTTAATTTTGTACGATCTCCAGGTGCAAGATCGTTTTAGTAGGGGAGAATTGTAATGGTACGCTCATTTGGGCATCTCATTTGACCCAAAGGGGGCGCTAGAGTCATAGAAGAGCTGGGCTGGGTTGATTAATTGTATTCACTTAAAAGTTAAATAGCATTAATTATGTTTCCAATAGTATACCGGGAACGGGTAAACAACCCCTGGTTTTGAATTCTTGCATTAGATTAAAGTGTTCATTTCGAAAAGCACGTTGGAAATGAATTCCTGCATCAAGATGTACAGGTGTTCATTTCCAATAACAAGTTAGACAATAGACTGTTTTGCCGGGGACGCGACATTCTCGCGAAGAGATAGACTCCTCCCATATTTGTTGGTGACTAGTTCAGATAACACTCATCTATTATGCTTTGTCATTGGTTATTATACAAATAATGAATGGTTATGAGTTCAATAGTGCGAATATTTTCATGAGTTGAAAGATTAACATTCTATTCAACGAGGCGTCAGCCGAGTTGAATAGAATTAATGTTAATCTTTTAACGAATGAAAATATTCGCACCATTGAACGAATGAAAAACATTCATTATTTGTTTTATACAACATCGAAGAAGATCTAATAGAACGTTAATCAACAAATTATGCTTTACTCCTTATATTAAAGATAAATTCAAGTTGGATTCAAGCCTTCTCGATTACATTCAGATTGCCTTCGCGTCAGATACACGCAGGGATACGCGCGCGCACGGCAGAGAGGTACGCAGTCTGCATATAACCAAAAATGCACGGCGCATATAACCAAAAATGCACGACCGTGCAATATACCATCTATTGAATATCATGTGACCAACAATCCTCCAATCAAATGACAGGGATCCACGTAAGTGTTGTATAAAATTAATTAAAGGTATAACTCTTCTCTTAATTGGTCGGATGACCTAAGGGTAATTTGATATATCCCGTCTTGTAATTGGTTGGCTTCGTTAGAGTCCTCCTGGTTGGCTGGCAATATCATGTAATATCTAAGCCTCATTGGGTGCCGCGGTATTTAAATGCCAGGTGCGGGATTTTGAAGTCAGTTTTAGTTGATATTATTTGAGAGTATATTATTTGAGAGTTTAATATGGCCGCCCAGCCTCTGAGAGAAGCAGCTTATTTAAAATGTTTATATAATAATTACTCTTCGTTTGTAACGATTGGAGCTTTGGCTGACTTATATAATTAATAAAGTGGACTTCAACTGTAATTCCGAGCTTCTTTTGTTTTCATTTATATTTGAACTTGTCGTCTTCAACTCATTAACTGGCCCACCACACTTTGATGATAGACATTTAAAGTTAAACCTGTGTTGTAAAGCCACAAAAGGAAAAAACAAATATTGTCCACCTATAAACAGATTGTCATTTCAGACAAGTTTAACAACACTTTTTTTTTTCAAAGAGAGAGACTATACCTGTGACCTCTCTAGAGAGGTGGCCATTTTGATAGTGTTTATTGTACCGTGTTTGGCATTTATGCAGGAACAAATTCAAATGTGAAAGTAATGATTGATTGTCAAAAAGAATTTTTTATTAACAAAAAAGTTTCTGGAGTTTTAATTATCATACTCTTTTCTTATCCCTAATTTGTATTCCTTAGTTGCCCAAGATCACAGGAGTAAGACCCACCTACGGTCCAGCGTCTGGTGGATCTCTTGTCTCTATCCTGGGTCTTAACCTTGATGCTGGTAGCAGCAGTATAGCAAACCTTAACGGAGTTCCCTGTCAGATCGTCAGGTAAGTTACTCCTTCACGGATAATGTATAACCAAAAACTTTTGTGACATGAACCTTTCGCAAACAAAATACAAATACGAAAGATACACAATCATTGCACTTTTATACAATAACCTTTTGGTCCTTTGAGGAGAGATTTTGTACAATGAATATTGTTGTAAATGCGTGTGAAGGCCATCCAGAAGCTAAGATGACTATTAATGTAATACCTTGGCATTCCACACATTGCTTGGATACTCTTTAAAAAAAGAAATATTAAATCACTTATAATAATAATAATATTCTGCTTTTATATAGCGCTTAATACATTTACAATTTCTCTAAGCGCTTTACAGATATACTATTACCCCTATTACTTAAGTGATTTTTCTTTATTTTTCTTTCTTAGTGCTTTCCCAACTGAGGTACTTTGTCTGAGTGGAGCAGCTGGAGTCGGAACCATGGGTTATGTCAGCATGACTGTAGATGACCACTACGTGGAAGGATCATCAGAGTTTCAATATCGGCCAGATCCAGTTATTACTAGAGTTAGCCGGTTCAGCAGCATCAGCAGGTATGATGATGGTCGAAGTTCCCCTGTAGGGGAGATTTGTGAATGATTTGTGAATGTGATCTAATTGAGACTATAATGTTTATAATGCAGGAGGGTGCCAGAGATATAAACTATACAGCCTGACTGAGTTAAGGAATGGGAAATCACCATTTGTTGAGTTGTTATTCAAGCCTCCCTCATTACAACTGGTGGCAGCGGTGGGATTTGTGCATTATAGTACGTAAGACCCGTTAGTCATAAAATAGGAGTATATTGAGGGTATATACCTGTATGGTGTTATCAATGTTCCCATGATAATACACAAATGTTAGTCTTCCAAAGAAAGCTATTGTTTCTTTTTATCCTCTCAGGAAATTATAGAAATTGGAACTTATATAGGCAGGAATACAATTTGATAGTTGAATATGAACTTTACACAAAGTAATTGAATGTATTAACAAGAAATGTTATATGCATACATGTACTTATTTATACCAATACCTTTTGAAAGTGATACTGACACTTGACGAACATGTTTTGATGTTTATTTTAAGTTTATATTCTGTGTTTAAATCTTTTCTAGTGGTTCCCTGGAGCTGGATGTGGAAGGAAGTGAATTTGACACCATTCAGTGGCCTCAACTCGGCTTCCTCATTGAGGACCAGCAACTCATCTCGGTCAGTACTTCATAATAATAATAATAATAATAATAATTAGAATAAAAAGTAATAAAAATGGTGCTTATAAAGCGCTTACCACCGAAGTCTCTTTATATGCCAATGATGTGTCTTGATATGTTGAGGTCAATTTACATAACCATTGATGATAACCGTGACTAACTGACTGTTGAGATGTGTTTGTTTGTATTTTAAAGTAGTTATGCTTGTCTCTTATTAATGGAATTTAAAAAAATGTGATTTACATCAATATTTGTTATGATTATAAAATTTGAACCAGTTGGGTCAACATCCTGATGCCAAATTTACTTACTGTATGTATTAAAGGGATCGTTTAACAATGTTAAATCTGAGATACACGGCCCTACGTATTATCAGTGTCTGTGATATGGTGTATTATTGAAGCCCTAAAAAAATTGTGCTTCAAAATGATCAAGAAGTGCCTCAAAAAAGTAAATATCTTTGAGTGACCGGTTTTACCATACTAGTTTTCCCCAATAGACTGTAGTGTTATGAAAACCGTCAGGCGAACGGTTTTCAAAATTTGTAATTCCAATCATAAATATCTTGATAATCAGACAGGCGATCGGCTTGTAAAAGTCATGGGGTTCCTGATTGACCTAAAGGTTTATAATTATCATTGCATCATGAGCTAAATCCAGAATTTTGTTTCAGAATCTGAGACAAAGTTACCGGATCCCTTTAACAATAATCATTCAATAAAGCATGACGTTAATATCTCTACTGACATCCTTTCTTTCTACAGAACTGCTCAAAGAGTGCAACGACCTCCATGATGTGTTTGACCCCCAGTGTGAGTGACCTCAACTTGACCTTACCCCTAGAGGTACCCATTGCCAACGTCAGTTTCCTATTGGATGGTGTGATGGAGTATGCACCCTTGCAGAATAATGGGCAGATCAGCGGCCTGGACGAAGCGTTCATCTTTTTTCCAGATCCCGTTTTCTATCAGTTTGAAAATCAAAAGATGGAACTGGAATTTGATCAGCGCAAATTCATCAAGATTTCGGTAAGTAACAAATTTTTGTGTGCTTAAAAAAGATATATTTTAAAAAATTCAGCTGTCCATACGGTAATTTCTTTTGCCCCATTACAGAGGCATCACTTCATAACTACATGTTTCTCAGCCAGAGAGTTCAGAGAGTTTAAAAGTCAAGTGCTGTAGGAAAATAAATATGATCACAAAGATTTTTAAGAAACCAACTCAAAGGCCAATATTAATACTCTATAGCATTGCATATGAAATCAAATTCAAATTATGTGATATGAAATTATGATGTTCCCACAGTTTTTTTTTTCTTCTTCAATAGTTGATTTGTTGTAGATTTTAGAAATCTCATTGGATATATAATAATTATATGGAACATACCCAAAAGTGAATATGGCTTCACTAACATATATCATATCATTAAGATAATGATAAAGCCTTGATATATGTTTTCTCTCTCTCTTCTTGGTCACTTCAGGGTGATAACCTTACCTTAGCATACAGGGAAGATGATGTGAGGGTAACCATAGGAGGAGCACCCTGTACTGATGTTGTAGTCAAACAACAGGAATTGACATGTTATGCTCCAGAAACACCACCATCCGAATTAGAAGGAAGAAACACATTTGATGTCATGGTAGGTTGATTTTCAATTTGCATTTGCGAACAGATAAGGAGCAGCTTTCTTTCTGATGGTTGCCGTCAATTGCAGACAATTGCTTTGTTCTATTTCTGTATCTGTTGCAATCAAAGAGAATATTATTGGATAAATGGAAGTGTCATATAACCTTTGGCTTGTAACACTTTTGTTTAACTTCTGGAGGGATAAGTACTATCTTTGGGACAATAGCCATTGTGTGGCGCTTTTGTCTATTGTGACATAGAAAAAATGGTTCCAATTTTATTATAGTCACATAATAAGAAATATGTGTTGCCCACTATATAATGCAATTCAAAAGTGATATTTGTAAAGAATTTGAATTTGGAACATAAAATATGGTTATTATTCACAAATTTAAAAAAAATAAAATTAATATAGCAAACGAAGGAAGTTGCAGGGTTGTTATTTTTTAGATTATGATTATTCAAGTTGTAACTATAAAACTTTGATCATCCATTCACTCATCTCAGGTGTACCATGGTTCCCTGAGTTTCCTTGTAGGTCAGGTGGAGTACCTACCCCAAGCCATCCCTCTGGCCCTCATCGTTGGATCGGTAGCGGGCGGGGTACTCTTCCTCCTCGTCATCCTCATCATGGGGGTCTGCATCGCCTCCTACCGCAAGAACAACAACAACGAGAAGATCTTTAAGCAGATGGAGGACCAGATTGGAACCCTGGAGCTCACAGTGGCTCAGGAGTGCAAAGAAGGTAAGACCCCCGAAGACAAGAATCTATCTGCAGATACAGTCAAACCTGTCTACAGCGACCGCCCTAGGGAAAAACAGAAAGTGGTCTTTGTAGACGGGTTCCTTTAGTACATGTTTCAATGAGAAACCATTTTCAAGGGAAACAAAAAATATGCTTGTTGTAAACAGGTGGTCTTTGTAGACAGGTGGTCACTAAAGCAGGTTTGACTGTATCATCATCATACATAGTGGTCATAAAGCAGATATCTTCCTGTACTCCGTGTAGGAGAGATTGATTATATTATCTTTTTTATAGGCACTTATTGCAAAAATATGCTTTGAATGATTATGTTGCTGAGTGTTTCACCGTTTTTATGATGTATCATAGTTTAAACTGTGAACTAATTAATTTGTTTGGTTAAAAGTCCTTGAAGTCTTATAATGTGAAAGCATTCATGGAATGTTGCAGATTCAAGGTATTTGGAGAAATGTCTTGTCTCTTAGAGGAAAGAAAGAAACTAAAGCGACTTTGGTAATTTGTAAAATGTGACAATCTTTCATACACAAAATAATTTCTTACAGTATTTTGCTTGTCAATCGCTTGTATACCATTCTATTTGCTTTTACCATTAAATATTTCCCTATCTTTATGAATTATTGTAGCCTTTGCCGAGTTACAGACTGGTGTCCTGTCCATCACACATGACATCAAGGGTCATGGAATCCCGATTCTTGATTACCGGTCTTACGTTGTCAAGTCTCTCTTCCCTGAGAACCCCAACCATGCTGTACTCAAAGATCTCTCGGTAAGTCGATTGCCTATAACGAGTCACTCATTATGATGTTGCGGGTCATGGTATAGCTCTTATCAATGAAAATATATCCATTTCTTGGAATGTGTTAACATTATCAAGACACTTCACACAAAACTGTGTTGATATATCTGCTGTGAGTATGTTCTTTATACTTTGGTGTATCCAAGTTACACATTTATCAATTCGATTTTCATGGGTAGATGTTCCTGCAATTTATCGGCCAAGAACTAGATAGGGGGGTTATTGCAATATGGACTTTTAAAGACTTTAAATCTTGTATTTACACTTTCATCAATACTCCTACTTTTAAATGTGAGACTTTGGCCTCTTTGTCTTCAGAGTTGCCATTGATTAAGAAAAGTATAATCTATCCTTGTATGTAATTATAATAAAAACTTAATTATTTGATGTTAAGGTTGCTGGTGTGAGGAAAGACTTTGTACAGAAGGGTCTATGGCAGTTTGGGCAGCTGCTCTCCAACAAGTCTTTCCTGATGATCTTCATACGTGTGCTGGAGGAGCAGCGAACCCTGTCCACCAAGGACTTCAGCAACGTTGCATCCCTCTTGGTAGTGGCCTTCCAGGGCAAGATGGAGTATTGTACCGATGTCTTGAAGGCTCTCATGGCAAGGGCTATCAAGCAACATGTCAAGGAGGGAGAGGAGTCTGCTAGAGTGTTCATGAGGAGGTGAGAGAATGAGGATGATGATCTTTTTGCTCTATGGGTCACTCAGTGCTATTTAGGATACACGTATGCATGTTCCCTCCCTTTGGTCCGGTGTGTAAAGTCAATCAGGGCCGATTCTTTGGTGTATTATGAGCCAGACTTTGTTGTGTGAAAAGTACCCCTTTACCGGAGATTTAGACAATACGAATGCAGTCCCTCTGTTCCTGGAGTGGGGGGGGGGCTGGGTTTGTAGTGATGCCTAAGATGGCAGAGTTGATGAACACATGATAGCAGAAAGTACTTTCAACAATTATAATTTTGAGAATATGAAAATTGTATCAGAGAAAATCATTGAGGTGTGTTCTTAAGAAGATGAGATATTAATTTTTCCTTGATCCTCTTGATGTCCTTTTTACTCATTAAGAATTTAAATATTGTTATTATAATTCTTGAGTAGGAAGTATAGTGATCGTACCAATACTTCCAATGATGGAAATGGAAAAGCTAAAGCTGGTGCACAGATATCAATGATAATGATAACAGATGTACATGTATAGTTCTAGGTTAAATAAGGAATTTAGATAGTTTGGTATAGTCGTGATACCAGGTGAAATGATATGACAGCATGGTTGTAATGGGGATGAGGATAACATCATAAATTTGAATACTATTCATATAATTCCAGAGGATCATCCGTTGTGGAGAAGATGGTTGGTAATTGGCTCACTGTCCTGCTCTACAATCATCTTCAAGACTCTGCCGGTGAGCCGCTCTTCAAACTCTTCTATGCCATCAAGCAACAGGTGGAGAAAGGACCAGTCGATTCAGTGACGGGGGAGGCCAGGTACAGCTTGACAGAGGGCAAACTCATCAGACAACAAGTTGATGTCAAGCAACTGGTGAGAATAAGAAAATTTATGTCATATTTGTATTATGCCCAAAAATATCAATATTTGTACAAAGGATAAAAAAAGTGGGTGTATATTTACCATTGAGAAGCATCAAGGATGTTTCATGGCATCAATTAATTAACAGAAATCGTTGATCTTCAATTAATTCCAGCCTGTTAATATTGATTTCAGTAGACTATTGATCCATGCAGAAGCGGTTTCATTATAGGATTAATAATTACATACTGGCAGCTGTATTTGTTTTTCCCACTCAATATATCTGGTATCCTGACATTTGCCCCTGCAACAATTGCTCCTGTCTCTATTTCGTCAATTTTGTAGAGTTGGGGTTGAAATTATGCTTTAGGTTGGGGTTAGGGTCAGGTATAGGTATAGTGTTGGGTCGGAGGTTGAAGATAAGAATTTGATCAGTGTAGGAGATTGATGCGAAGCAATTGTCACAGGAGCTATCTCCTATCCTCATTTATAAATATGACTAGTTGATAATCATGCAAAAGTTGACATTTGTGATAAAGTGATCTCAATTCTCCTCAATCATGTGAAAAATCGACATTTGTGATAACGTGATCTTTATTCTCCTCATCCCATCTGCTACAGACCTTAAAGGCACAGGGACCAGACCGTAACACTCCAATGGTTGAAGTGAAAGTCCTTGATTGTGACACCATCTCCCAGACCAAGGCTAAGATCCTAGATGCCATCTACAAGACCTCGCCTTACTCGCAGAGACCAAAGAAGAATGAACTTGATCTAGGTAACTTCAGGGTTTTGTTTGTGATATTTTGTTTTGTGAACTTTTCCAAAATGGAAAGCAGCCAGCAAGGGAAATCTTAAAGTTACCAAGTGTTGACCAATCATGAATTGAAACGTAATAACTTTAGCCTTTATCATATTGTCTTCAGACATGAAGGCCCGAATTCACAAAGGAGGTTTGTCGACAAATCTTGGTTTTCTTTTTTTTTACTCGTTTTTACAAACCAGGTTTGTAAAAAATGAGTGAAAACGCGTCATATGACGTATGAAAACCAAGGTTTGTCGACAAACCTCCTTTGTGGATTCGGGCCGAAATGTTTTGTCACTTTCAGCTTACATTAAATCAAAACTTGATCTTAGGGAGGACGTTAAGCCAGAAGGGTGTTGGCTCCTATATCCTTCATCAGACGTATTGTATCAGATGTCTATGAAGTCATTTTTAGATTCTTCAAATAATACATTGTATTTTCTTTTGATGTTACAGAGTGGTATGATAGACCAGGTGGCAAACAAATTCTTTTTGACGATGATGCACTGAGACCTATGGAGGGAGGTTGGAGAAAGATCAACACCCTTTCACATTACCAGGTATGAATTAAAATTTGATAAAAATTTCATAATGGCATCTTATGTTTATTTCAGACAAGTAATAACTATTTGTTGTTGTATGCATTAAGAAAAGTGAGTGCAATTGTAGGCACTATGCAGAGTTCCATTCTTTAACTTTGGAATGGTTAAAGCACTCTTTGATGTCTATACAACTGGGTTGATATAATCTCTTCTCATTTTGACATTCTCTACAGGTTACAGAGGGTGCAACGGTCTACCTTCTACAAGCTCAGGGGAGCAGTGGATCCTTACATTCCAACCATTCTTCACCAGCTAGATCATACAGTAAGATCACTAATCATTTCTTTTAAGGATTGTATGAGTTGGATAGTCCTAGCAACTTAATATGTCTCAAAATATAGGACACTTTTCATCATATTTGTTTGTTTTTTTTAATTAAAAAAAAAAGAATTTGGTAATAAAGTACTTCAGCTGTAGTTTATCTCTATTAAAGTTATTGCGAAGTAATAATTTTTAATTTTGACTAGTATAATGACCTAAATATAGAAAATAAAGAAAAGTTGCAAAGATCTATCATAATACTTCGAAAATTGTGCAACAATCATATTTAAGAGATAGATTTAGGTGAATAAGCTTCAACTTGTGAAATTTCATATATAAGCATTACCTTTAAGACCAATTCATTGTCTTGTCTGTTTTGTAGATAATGTCAATGTGAGCTACAACATCCAGACCCCTGCGTCTTCCATGTCACCGATGATCACCATAGACTATGAGAATATGAATAGAATGTGGCATCTGGTGAAGCCCCAGGACCACCAGCAGCAAGAGAATGGTGTTACTGATCGGAAGATGATGGCAGAGATATACCTTCCTAGGCTGCTAACTACCAAGGTATGGTGTCGCATGTGCAATGCCTTGAATTTGATGAAAGAAATCCATCCTGGATTTTTAACTGGGGTCGTGGTAATAGGCATTCAGGTTTCTGCTTTAGGCTATGGACATTTTAAGAGTCTTGTGTTGCAGGGATTTATAATATTTGTACTTGGAATGGGATAGGAACAGCTAAGTACACAAATGTGTTTGGAAATGTTTTTTTATTTTATTATTATTTTTTTTTTGCACCAACTTACACGGTATACAAATTGTACCCGGTAAACCCCCCCCCCCCCCCCCCCCCCCCAAAAAAAAAAAAATGCATGGAACATGTAACAAAAATTTGGTATGTAATGCTATTAAGATATATATAATTATGTAAAAGTGAAAAAAGTAGATCACCCAAGTTATTATCTAAAAGATGGCTTTGTTGGTGCTGGTGCTAATACACAGTTTATTAGTCAGAACCAACATGTTGCATTGCAGTGAATAAGTGAATATGGCTTCTGGGTCCTAATCGTTCAATCTGTCTCACTCTTATTCTCCTCTCCATCAGACCATCTTGCACAAGTTTGTAGATGACCTTGTGACGACCGTCTTCATGTTGGACGATGATAACTCCTTGCCTCTGGCCATCAAGTATCTCTTTGATTTCCTGGACGAACAAGCTTATGAGAACGGTATCACGGACCCTGCCATCATCCATGCTTGGAAGAGCAACAGGTAAGAATACGTAATTCACATTAAAGATAAACTTGAGTTCTGGTAAAAAAAGAAAATGAATTCTCACAGAATCTAACGAAACTTACACTGAATGTTTAATATTACAAATAAATGTCATGTGCCAAACAATTTTGGAAGAAAATGTATACTGGCTGAGTAATGAGCATAGAAAGATAAGGAAATCAGGGTAGTACTAGCCCCGACACCATGTGTGTTGTCCCATATACATCTTTCTGTGTAAGTAATTGTTACTTTACCAAGACTCTGCCAAATTTATGATGATTTTGATGACTCCAGAACCTTGCATTAAACACCATTACTTACATGCTATATGATCAACTTTTCTGATCCATTCCACACCTTTTCTTTCACAATGCAATCGCATTACCAGAACTCAAGTTTATCTTTAAATGTAATGACTAAGTCATTTTGGGAGAGATTTTACTCCTAAACCCATAAGAATTTGAGATTGCATTGTAAATAAGTGGATTAAATGGCATTTGGGTACGCACTCACCCGCAGCTACTTTGACCATGATAAAGAGATTGAAACAACTTGATAGCAAATAGAGTTTCAAATCTTTGCTCCCACTCAACAAGGTTACCTATCATTTGGGCACTGTTTTCCAGCTGTGCCTGAACTTGTATGCATACAAACATTTTCTAATCATAAATGTTATAATGGTACAGATTTGCTCTGTTTAAACCGAAGCATTAAAGATCTGTTTTATGATGTTCAAGAATAACAGATAATATGGAATACTAAGTTGAAAGACCAAGTTAGAAGCATTGAATATGACTTTTCTTATTTCTTTTCCAAATAAAAGTTGCTATGTAAAAATGAACATGAACCATTGTACTCCTTTCTTTTTCCCCTTTCCTATCCAGCCTACCCCTTCGGTTCTGGGTGAATCTGATCAAGAATCCTGATATGATCTTTGACATCCACAAGGCTGACACGGTGGACTCCTGTCTATCCGTCGTAGCTCAGTGCGTCATGGAAGCGTGCTCTGTCTCGGAGCAACAGCTGAACAAGAATTCACCGGCAAGCAAGCTTCTTTATGCCAAGGATATCCCTGCATACAAAGAATATGTCTCACAGTAAGTCTTATACATACCTAAATCTTAGCACACAGTCTGTAAAATGAATATATACAACATGGATTGTAAGTTTTTTAATTTCCTGATTAATTGTTTTGAAGGGGAGGGGTGTGTTTGCAGTGAATACATGTCTATGTATCTCAATCATATTTGTGTTAAAAGTAATATCAAATTTGCAGTTGTTCAGACAAACCAAAAATGTCATTTGATTTCGAAATTACAGTTCTTTCTGCTGGTAGCTTGAATGTTTATTCATTATATTCATTATTCATTTTCACAGGTACTACAAAGACATCCAGAACATGCCTGTGATCAGTGATCAGGACATGAATGCTATGTTAGCTGAGCATTCACAAAGACATCACTATGATTTCTACATGCTATCAGCTCTCAATGAACTCTACTTTGGCTATGCCTGCAAGTACAGAAGTGAAGTAAGTATTGAAAATTATCATTTTAATTTTCAACAAACATTCGGTCAATCATTGGATGTGATAGGAAGGTCCCCATGTTGGAGAACAATGCATTAGTCTTGGGTTTCAGTCTTGCTTGAAATAATGAAATTATGTGACTGAAATTATGTCTGTCAGAATTGTGTGATGATGCAAACATAATTATGGATGTTAAATGGTATACAAGTCTGATATCAAAATCTTTCCTGCTATAATGGCACATTGACTAAATTATCAATGTATATCAGGAGCAATGTACTTGCACTAGGTTGCTCTTGAGGTAAATTCATAATTTTTCACCTCCAAATATATTACTTAATTATTTGTTTTAATATTAACATTTTGTTATCTTTTACTCTCTCTTTCATGTACTTCTCAGTTAATATCAGCCTTAGATGAGGATGACACATCCATCAAGCAGGGACATGCGGAGAAGATCGAGGAGATCGAAAGAATCATGTCCAAATCGTTCTGACAAATAACCATCAACCCAAGAGAAGTAGGCAGAAAGAATGGGATCGTGCTACCAGACTCCGACATACAATCCACCACCTGTTAATGAGAGATAGAGAGAGAGAGAGAGAGAGGGGACAGAGAGAGAGAGAGAGAATATGAGAGAGCGAGAGAGAGAAAGAAAGAGAGAGACAGAGGGGGACAGAGAATGAGAAAGAGAGAGAGAGAGGGAGAGAGAGAGAGAAAAAAACTTGATGTAAAAAATTGTAAGTACTTGAGACATCTAAACTGAAATATAAAATTTCAACTCGAAGCAATTTGAATCTGGAATTTAATTTAACCTTTTTTAAATTAAAACCTTAGATTTAAAGCAACTAGTGTTAGTATCATTTTGGTGCAAAGTAAAAACAATAAACAAGTTATGATAACTAAATAACTAGAATTAAATTTTCAAATTTAGATAAACTGCTTAATGGGATTTATTTTCAGACCTCAACATAAATTCACCAAAGAAGTCTGGACCACATATTATTGAGAATTAGAGAAAAGGATTAGGTCAAGTAAAACGGAAGTCTGGAACGAACCATGTTAAGAAAATTCTGCCTTCTTCGATTGGGTTGATACTTATCAGAGAACTTTATATCAGATTATTTTTATATTTTTATATATTGATGCAAATTGTACATAAAGGAAAACTTATCACTTCCAAGAGCTCTTCATTCTAACAATTTTCTGTGATTATCTTGCAATTGTATATTGAAATCCTGCTTTAGAGAAGCTTAAATTGCAGCTGTATAATTTGGTGTAGTTGTAGCATTTAGCTCTTCTAGTATAGCCCGGTATCTTTATGATTTTTGCTGAAGTTTGCCGTGAAGATGACATGCAAAGAAAGTATTCTAGGTGCTTGTAATATTGCTTTCATTTTATTTTATTTGATGCAAACTGACGTTTAGTTAAAATGATTGTATCAGGATGGGAGAGTTCCAAATGGAAGCCTGGCTATTTTAAGTTGTTAGAAAAACCAGGTGACCACTAGAATATAGCAAAAGGGAGACAATTGGGGAAATGGGGTAGGTAACAAATTTAATGGACTGAATGAAATCTATACAAATATGCGATAATGGGATGATTAATTCAAAGTTATTCATCAAATTGAATGAATTGAATTTCTTTATATACTTAAATGAGGAGGGAATGGAATAATGGTTTAAACTAATACATTATATTAAATAAACAGTGCAGTCTTTAAAATGTGTGACTGTAACTTCATTAAACTGTACAAGTAGGAATAAATCAAGAGATGATTATGTAATCTTAGGGGAAAATATTGTTAATTGTGTTATTTTGGTATTCAAGTAATTAGGTTTTCATGAGTCATTAACAAAATCTAAGCAAGTACATATGTTATTGATGTTGAGAATTTAAGCCTATCCTGTTCATTCCGAAGTATACTTCTATGTTCTATCTTTTAAAAGCTTATCGCATATTTGACTTTTATAAATATAAACTCCCTAAGTTTCCACATTTATTAATGTATTTATTCAAAAATCAATTTAGTCCTTCAATTTTGTTATTTTAGTGTGTAACTATTGGTGGAATGTTGTTAAGTAAGCTTGAGCTGGCTCAGTACCAAAGAGTTCTTGTAACAGTACTCTCTTTCCTTCCAGCATTTATTCATATATTCCTAATTCATCCTAATTCTTCCTTTATAGTCCTTTTTGTATTTTGTCCAATATTTTTTGGTTTAATTTTAATTAATAATGTAACAACTATACATCACATTAACATTAGTACATGGGTACTTAGATAAATCCAGAATATAACAAATTTGTCCAATATATATATATATACATTATTTATTTATCAATTTAAATATGCAGATATTCTCTCGAATATGCAAGCATTTTGATATTGTTGTCCAACCCATTTCTATTCAGTACAATAGTAGAGATAAGCTTTTGCTACTTTTTAAATATATTTTTGATTTATAACCCATTATGTGTAGTCTTAAAAATATTGACAAACCTCTGAAGTTAGTAATTGAAAGGTATGTGAATTGTAGCCATTTATATTGTATTCAGAAATAGTGCATATACCTGACATTAATTTTGCATGGCTTGTGACATTTCATTTTTCTTTGCATTTGCTATATTTAGCTTGTATTCCTTTAAAAAAAAAATATGCAAAAAAAGTACAAGATATAATGCCATATGTAAAGTATTAAGATACAGTCTTGAACAAAGTGCCATTATCGTTTAAAAATCTATATCATATTTGTGTTTTTTGCTATATGGAAATTGTTCACATTCCATGACTATAGTAAAATACATTTAGTGTACAGCACTTTTGAAGGAGCTGGTTCACATATGCCTTGTATTTTGGTGCAGGTTTTTTCCTCCCTATTGGGTGCCAGGTGTGATATGCAATGTTCTGTCACATTTTCAAGCAGTGGGGATAGACCTTAGATATAGTGTCGTGGAATTGATGGTGCAGAAAATATTGTTCGTACTAGTATGACATCCATGATCATCAATATTATATTCGTCTGGGTGTATTGTCGTTTGGCATACATGTTAGTGTCTTGTGAGCTGAAGTTGTGTCAGAAAGTGTAAATTATGTTATTGCGACATATTTAATGTTTTGAATTTATCATAATACCATGTGGGAAATTATTGGACATACTATGTTTTAAGGAGAGAAAAAAATGTAATCCAAATTCGACAAAAATGGCATACTTCCAATTAGTGATGGATACCAAGTATTATCTTTTTTGCTCTGAACAGGTATCTAGAGAAAAATATATTCAGATCGTTGTTGTACAAATTCAAATCTTATCTTACAGTATATACCAACAAACGCCTCTTCCTTCCTATTTGTGACTAGGAATACTTCCATGCTAATAGACTCTACATATACATGAACTTGTATATAGATAGAGAAAAAAGCAAACACTATTTTATATATCTTACTTAACTTGAGTATGATACCAGCAAACCAATTAAAGCAATAATGCGTATTGTAATTGTTGGATACTAGTAATCACATTGACTATGCAGAATGATATAAGATTTGCATGTATGCAGATCTGATATATAATTTACATTATATGTTATTGGATGTAAATATCAAGCTAATGCATAACTTGTAAAGATGATGATGACGTTGTTGATGATGGTGATGATGTTGTTGATGATGATGATGGTGATGTTGATGATGATGATGGTGATGATGATGATGATGATGATGATGAAGATGATGATGATGGTGATGATGATGATGATGATGATGATGATGGTTATTCTACGACTTAATTCAGTACTTAATGTGAATTATTGTAGTTGAAGGGAAAAATTTAAAAGTGAAGGCAAAAAAATTATAACTTTGATGTACACATTCCTTGCAGATAATGCTGTATTTTGACACGCAAAATATATACATGATCATGTACATTCATGTTATCTGTTAGATGGAATGTGAAATGTTATATTGTTCTCTATTTTTCAGTAAAATGACTTTAAATATATATTTATAAGTTGATGCAAATGAAACGAATCTTGGGAATGGATCTTCCATTTAATTGCCAGATTGTATAGTTAGTTAAAGATATTGAAATCACGAGTATGTAAATATTCTTGTATGTATTTAAAGATATATGAAGATGTTGTTATGAGCATGTATATTGACATTTTGTTCTTGCATATGATTGTTTTTTCATTGTTTTTCGATTTTTGTTTTTGCTGTCGAAAAACTTGATATCCTTCAACTCATTTTACATGTTTTCCAAAAAATGCAGATAACTTTGAAAAATAAAATCTTGAAATAAATTCTTAAACATTGACTTGTGATTTGTGATTTATTATTTTTTGTCTGTATACAATATATATTCATAAAAATGAAACAGAATTTATAGATTCTATGAGAAATGACAATAAAGAAAATTATGTTGAAAATACGGGATGAAATTAAAGGAGGTGAGATCACTAATCAAAATGTATGCATTCAAAACAAATTATGGTACAGCGTGGTTCAAGTGCTTAATTCAATAAAGGTTTATTCAAACATGTTTCGCAGTACAAAGACTGAATTACACATGTTTTACAAAGATTTAAATATGATATAAATACAAATTTTAATTGTGAATAAATACTAAATTACATAAAATATGAAAGAGTGAGAGAGAAAGAGAGAGAGAGAGAAAGAAAAGAAGGGAGAAATACAAAAAGAGATGGAGAAAGAGTACAGTATGGTAAACGTATAAATATAGAAGAAGCAAAACAGTGACTTGATAGCAACACCATAAACATTTGATACCGGTCAGAGTATCACAAATATGATAGATGATTATTATAAGCTTTGATTCGCGTGATGATTCTTGAGTGTACGTGTGAGATTAGGAGAGGCACTTTTTTGGAATCACGTCCTGCAAGTAAATTCTTGATATCTCTTGACATTGCGTAAATTGAACTTAGTTAGTTTTCTATAGGAGGTAACCACGATTACAACATACTTTTTTTTTCAAATGAAACAGCAAAATCTTTATTAAATTTTTCTCTACAATTCAAAAGAGATGGCAGTTCTAGTCTTGCTAATGCATTGTCATATGAATTGTAGTTTGATCACAAAATTATTCTACATTCTCTTTTTTGTATACTTACTATATCATTAATCTGTCTGCTAGTCAAACTTGCAGAAAAAGAGTTATACAGTGATCCAAAATTGGTACGGTCAGTAACATATCACAAACAAGTGAGGTTGTAAAGTTTTCAATGTAGGCCTACGTAGCATGCATGAATAATTTCCTATTACTCTTCTTTATAATTACAGTTACATGATATGAGTGTTCCACTTAAAGCCACTTTGAATTGTGACAACCAAGAATCTTAACCGTATGAGGTAAATTTATATTATCAAAATGATAACAAATGTGTCTGTATAGGTTGTTTAGAAGATGAAAATAACATCCGAGGAACATTAGAATACATTTCATTTCATGATTATTTGATGAAGTCCATTATTCGAGTAGCATCGTTAATCATTACCAGAAACAAAATAGGCCCAAACTTAGTGCCTTGAGGTACACCTATACCATTGTGTTAAGATTTAGATAAATGTCCTTTATACTTCACAGCTTGCTGCACGATTAATATGGAAGTCATATAATGAAATTACGCAAGGTCGGACACGGAAATCTTACAACTTATAGTGACAAGTACATTATGGCTTATTCGATCAAATTAATGCTTTCGAAAAAATCATTCGAAGGTATTATGAATTTTGAGCAAGGTTTGTCGGCATTACTATATAATGCATGTAATAATCCAATTAAATGATTACATACAGACAAGTTTTGGCTATTAGGGCTACCGAACTGATTTATTTTGTTAGCCATGTCTTCCCCCACCAATTTTGCAATGAAGGGCTCTGCATGTAATCTTTGCAAAATATGAAGTTGATGCAGTTGGCATAGTTCGTCAATTTTGGGGCAAGAAATTTGGTTTTAACAGACAAGTACTTATCAAAGTTTGTTTTTAAAATACCAACAAATAAATCACATGTTGTAGAAGGATCGTTAGTGCGATAAACGTCATCCCTGGAATGATCTATCAACCAAGTTCCAAACTCTCGAATACCGCTTTCTCGTAGAGGGCGCACATACCTTTTATTGGGCCCTGTCTTATCAAGAGTTGATCGCAACTATGCACATAAGAGATGGGAGACTGCAAACTTGCGATTGATTGGGACCAATCGCAACTCTTAATATAAGACGAGGCCCTGGTCTTATTTTCATTTTGCGATGTACAACGTTGTTAAGAAGGGTGCCATAAAACCACAGAAATGTAAAATTACAATTCTGTGCATACAACATAGTGTTATGATCGCTCATGCCTATATCGGTTCAAGAATTTGGGTGTCTCGGTAGATTACTATGGCAGTTGGTGATAATCTTGTCTAAAATGTTAGTTCCTCGTGTTGGTTCTGTAACTTCCTTCTTAAGCAATCATTTTGAAGCAGTTGATTATCATCCGAATCATTAAAATCTCCTACGACAGAAATAGCGCCCGCTTCTACATATATTTTAATAAACAAACTATAAATCATAGTAGTCAAGTGCTTGATGTACTCATTTGCCATAATAACATATCTCGGAGGAAAATATATCCGACATACGATGACACATAAAATATTTTTTGATAACTTTGGTGGTAGTATGAATATCAATTGAGTTTGCTTTTGTCTGTAGATCACGGGTCGGGATCACGGGGTTTTAATTAGTGCTTCACTACAAATTGCGACACCACCACCCAGTTTTCCAACGCGAGATCTTAAAAAAATTGCATATCCAAATATTGAAAATGAGTCAACTGGCCTATTATGATTTTGTTCGTCCGACAAGTTTCCGTACTACTAGGACATCGGCATTATATAAATTTGCGACAAAAGGACCTGGTATATCTCATCAAATTTGCTATTATTGAACGTACATAATTTATACATTTTTTTTAAATCGGGATCATGACTGTTCATGATGAACAGATGATATAAATTGCACTTGCTTCAAATTTTCAGGACAGCATTTTCTCTCAATGTTTTTGTATTCTTACGGTGTGTACTTAAAGACCAATATCTGACAGTAATTTTATATGTAACGAATTCTTTAGTTTCCTTGCTCTTTCTATACAATACGATGACTTAGTGGGTGTGACGAAATGTTTAAAGGCCCACTGCACTACTTGTAGCTACTTGCGCCCTCTATATAACAAACAATGCATAATCGGTGACCATTGGTCCCCCATGATCCTCTTTTTCTTATGTTAACTGAGAGCTGAGTTGATGAGATAACCACCTGTCCAGTGACCTTGCAGGGCAGTCTAATCCCTCCTGTAAACTACGGCAGATAAGCTTTAATTTCTTTATTATTTTCCCGGTTTCAGGAGGTAATTTACGTTCACGGGTGCTCAGAAACGGAATATTTAAGAGACATGTGTTCTGGTGCAATGTCAGGTCCCGGGGTTTAGGAGTATATCACCACATGGTATACGTTGGTCGTTATTCCAACTAAAAAGTGGACGTACAGTTGGTGTAATACAATTATAATTGAACTTTTAAATATTTGAGGTGATATAACATCCGCCCACAATTTATGGAGAAGAACGAAACGAGGTGGAACTGTTCGTTGATGTGCACAACAAGCATAGTACACATAGGATATTATGATAATTGATATACTGACATTCATATTTTCTTTGTGATGGAAGGAGGAACGGGAAGTAGAGGGAGAATGAGAGAAACAGATAAAGAGAGAGAGGGAGAGAGAGAGAGAGAGAGAGAGGGAGAGAGGGGGAGAGGGAAATAAAGAAAGGAGGAAAAAAGGAAGAAAGAAAGAAGGAATAAAAAGGAAGAAAGAAAGAAGACAAAAGAAATTAAGAGAAATTTCAGAGCGCAAGAGGACTAGGCAACCACGTGAGGGGTCCCCTCACCTGGCCAAAAAAAACAGGTAAATTTAACCATTTTTATTTATTAAAAAAAGAAAAGACGGCCCCCTCCCCCTAGTTCAAGAGGGTGGGGGGGGGGTAGGTATTGAGTAAAAAAATATCAGGGCTCACTAGCCCCCCCCCCCCCCCTTATTCGCGGGCTGGCTGATTCGCCGCTAAACATTTTCTCACGAATTGGGTCCCTAAGTTGGCCCCCTCCCTTGCCGCCGGCTGGATCCACCCCTGGGTAACACACTTGAAAATTAAAACCAACAGGGATACAGGTAGTATCATTTTATGCTCGAAAGAAATAAAACGGGGAGATCACATTCACATTACCATCAATACCGTGTACCTTTGAAGTGGATTATTTGCTAGCTCGCTCAAAATGATTAGACTCAGTGGCAAGCGACATCAGGCCCCTAGTACCGAGTACATGCACC